GGATAAAAGCCCAGCATAAAAACTTGAAGAAACAGCACCATCTTATGTGATTTAAAACTTAGCATTTACTTATATTTGAAAATTCTACGGGAAGCGCAAACACTAGTCACCTTAAAAGTTAATATAACTAACTTCATTATAGAAATAATTTCAAAATTTGAGTTATTCTCCTCACTGTAATGGGAAGTTACCCCTTCTTTCATTTGATCCAATTGTCTTTACAACATAATTGAATAAGGGTGGAAAAATATGTATACTACAAGTCAGTATATGTGCCTACGTGTGTGTTGTGGAATGAATGAATGAACGTCTTATTTTAATTTACTATTATCTTACTGAGTCAGGAAGGTTGCCAGATCTCAAAACCTGGTCATCTTGGAAATTCTTACACCAATTTGGTTTTTGATCAACTGTTCTTATCATTTGGGTATACAGAGTCCAAATCAATCCGGTGGCTTCTTTGTAGTCACTGTAAATATATTCCTTGGGAACACAGAAGGAGGCAACGAGAGTTCCTCTGCCTTCATATTCCTGATATATTTTTGAGCTGGTTTGAAACAGTCCTGTTCCCCAGTAGGTCACTTGGGACAGAACTAACAAAGGTGTTCTCCGCAGCATTTTTTCTGAAATAAGGACTGCAAATATGGCCTTAGATGCAATGTTGTAGGGGTTAAAGTGATAATAAAGTGAAGCCACCCCAGAGCTGGGGGTAATATTAAAAATATTTCACCACTATATAGAAGAAACACTGGCCAACTGGGATGTAAATGCTGAAGGAGGATCCCAGGGGAACTTCTGGTGTACTAGCCAGTACCCTATTCTTGCTGGATGGTGTGTTCTCGAGTTTCTGGAAGGGTCCCCAGAGTGGTAGGAAGAGTGGAGTCACACTGGTCAAATAGAGGAAGGGGCTCTTTACCAAATGATACAGGCATATTTTAATACTTTAAAAACCAACTTGGCTCTTCTGGTTTATAGAAGTTGACTATCACTCCTGTCCTTGGCTCAAGCTTCTCAAAGTGAGGACAAAAAATACCTTAGGGTCCCCAAGATCCGTTCAGGAGATCCAGAAGGTTCACGCTTTTCTAACCATAAATCTGTGTGAAGTCAGATGTTATTCACATGCTTAAACCAAAACAACATACAGCAACAGATAAATGGTGAAGCACACATCACAGCGATTTGCAAAAATGTGCCACTCTTGTCAAAAAATGTATTTTTGCTTTGAAAAATAGAGCTAATTTTCATAAAAAGATATTTTTTTGTTAATATGCAATGAGTTTACTACTGTTTATTTTAATAAACTAATGAATAATAATTTTCAAGAGTGTAAAGGGATCCAGAGGCCGAAGAGTTTGAAAACTGCTGCTTTAGGAAATAAAATGATAAGAACTCTAGAGCATCAGAAAAGAGGGGCCTAAGAGTCCCCATCCCTTGAAGATTCTTGATTAAGAGAGTTCTGGTTGTCACTTGAAAGATTAGTTAATAACTTTATAATATCTCTTTACAATATTCCATAAGTGTTTTTCACTTATGCAAAAATACATCCACCAGCATATACTTATACTCCAATTCCTTGCTAATTTACTTTTGTGTATAAAGTTTCCAGAATAAGTTTATTAGATGGACATGCATTTCACCAAAACTATGCTAATAAAATTATCAAAACGTCACCCAGAAGAAAACAGCTTTAAGTAACAGATTAAAATTATAACTAGCCTATCAATTGTTATTTTTGTGGTACTTCTAAAATACTTGCAATCCACTTGTTTTGTATCTTAAGCATTTCATTAGAAATGCTTTTCACATCATCATTTTTTAACTTCACTTTTAAGAGAGAAGAAAGGTAAACATTAGCCTTCCTGTTGCTGTCAAGTCAATTCCAACTCATAGTGACCCTTCAGGACAGAGTGGAACTGCCCCATAGAGTTTCCAAGGAGTGCCTGGTGGATTCGAACTGCTGACGTTTTGGGTTAGCAGCCGAGCTTTTTAACCACTGTGCCACCAGGGCCCCAACATTACCTTAGTCTGTGCCATTATCTCAAATTCTGAAGCAGCTCAATCAAAGTTACCATCTTTCACCTTATCTAAGACAACAGGGATTGAAAGGTGCACCATTGTTTTATATACCAAAACAAAGAAGCAAAAAGAACACCTAGGAGGTTCTCCTGATACATCCAGGATGCCAGAGGGCTACACCTTTAGTGCAGAAGTAAATGAGAAACAAAACCAACCATCAGACATGGACACTAAGGAAAGCTGCATGTCTCCATCTTGACACTGGATGAAGGAAGGGGATCAAAAAAAAAAACAAAAAAAAAAACTCCCCTGAGAATTTAACCCACAGTCCTCACTTTGATTAGTGTTTCAATTCATGCAACCAGTGTGGTCAAGGACCTTAAGCAGAGAATGTGGAGTAATTTCATATAGATAGTGCCTCCAGGTGGCTACCAAAAACCAAACCAAACCTGGTGCCCTTGAGTCAACTAGGAGGAATGAATACAATTGTCTTGTAAGATGCCGTTAATATATAACAGGAGAACCAATTTCAAAAGTGTTAAAATATGGGGAAAAAATATACCACCACCACCAACAAAAAAAGTGTTGTAGAATCAATGAAATACGGTAGTTAGAATTTACTGGTACATAAAAATTAAATATTACCTATATAGGATTAGTTTGTATCATATCATGCTTTATCAATTATTGTAGTACACTTTAAATTACTCTAGCAAGTACAATGCCAGGGAAAATAGAAGAAAAAAATTGTAACGATGGGCATGCAGAGTTATCCAATATTCTTGATGTGTCTACTTCTAAAACTACAAAGTAAACAAAATTAACATGTTCATCTCCAAAACAAGGTATTTTATATGTGTAAAAAAAAAAAAAAACTCATTGCTGTCGAGCCTATTCTGACTCATAGTGACCCTATAGGACAGAGCAGAATTGCCCCATAGAGTTTTCAAGGAACAGCTGGTGGATTCAAACTGCTGACATTTTGGTTAGCAGCCGAGCTCTTAACCACTGCACTGCCAGGGTTTCCATTTTATATGCGTACTTCTAGTAAATGCTGTTTCTTTTTTGAATGATTTCTTTCCTCTGTGTCTACACATTTAGAATACGTTTTTATCAATCACAGATAAATTACTATGGCCTCTTGATTTTCATAGCTCAACAGGAAAATCCACAGCTCCTAAAAAGCAAGTTTTAAAAGCAAAGACACCTTCAAAACATTTACACTGTAAGGTGTTCTGGGTCCTAGACTTGACTTCATAATACTTCCACGTCATGGAACACATGGTGTTTATCATGCTCTGAACCAAAAACCCTTGATTCTCTCTACAGTGGCAGGGTGGCAGCTCTAATTCTGCATTTCCTTACTGTATATTGATTCCGTTTCCAAGAAATGTAGGCTCAGATTGAGGAGTCTTGCTGCATTTGGTATCTATTATGTGAGTGTAATACTGCAGGCTCTTAAGGAGACAGGAAGTAAAGTCTCAGTCATTAATGCTAACTTGCATAATGGAGCCTTGGGGCTATCTGGTTATGGCCTGGAATCCAGAGACATTTCTAATCAGTAGATAGTTGACCCAAACAAATGGAAAAAAAAACAAGTATGTCTCCCTGGACCATGGATGTTTGGAATGGGATGGATGTGGTAATGAGTGCTATCAGTCATCAGCTGTCTTCTGGGGATAATGGGACTGCCCACGGATGCGCTAAACTCCATGATAAAATTACATGTATAGGTCATTCCCGCTTCTCTTTTGAACACAACATAAATTGCCTTTTTAAAGTTGAGAATATTGAAATGCTTGCTTTTTTTATTAGCTTTAGATGCTCAATGATGATTCTCTTTTTCATGTCTTAGGGTCCCAAGTTACAGATTACACAGTTCTTCAACATAGCTATGAACTTTTCCGAGGGGTTCTGAGACCTGTCTGAAAATTCTCAAAACAACAGTAGTCTTATAAACCGAAGAATGGCTAACGGTTGTGCTGAGAAAAATTCCAGCGTTCTTTATTTCCTTGCAACTGGTCTCTTAGTGTTGAAAATATAAATCGCTGCATTAAGTAGGATGCCTCTTAAATGATAAACGGATGAAGTAGGTGTTTTGAATAGAAATACTAAATAAAGCTCCTCTGTTGAAATTATGGCCTTGGTACAGAATGGCATTTATTCAAGTCATTCAAACAACTTCATTCCATTTCACAAAGAATGAAAAGACCTCATAGAAGCCTAGGCTTTTCTTTTTTTTCTTGTCTCCTTACAATAAAAAAGTAACCAAACAGAATCCATTCCCAAGTGGCATTGGATCCATAAGCTTGCTTTTCTACTATTCTGTATTAGAAGGATAAATGGATGAACAACTGTTAAAGATTTTCCTTCACCCTGATGTGGAAAGCAAAACGCCATGTGTATCAACTTTTCTTTCTCTTTCTTGACTAACAGAAAACATCTCATTATGTACACCTGTATATCAGTATTATATGTATGTATATGTATATACATATGTGTAACATATACCAACACATTATGAATGTGTGGTCACATGCATAAATATACATAGATGTACAAGTCGACAGATCTTCTCAATGGTAGAATGAAACAGATCTAAATTTTCATTTGCATTTTTCAAAATACATTTAGCTCTCACTGTTGATTTCACTGAAAATATGTTCTTAAGTAATTAGCCCCTCATTTTATAACCATTACACGATTACAGATCAGTTCTTTACAGATAAGTCTTTCCATGAGTGCCTTTTGGGTTCAAGATTTCTGAAGACAGAAAACTTGCTGTAGCGTAGAACTGAGGCTGATTTTGAAGTCCTATTTTATCTTGAACACATCTGTACAGGTCTAGCTCATTTCCACCCTTTGAAGTCATTTGGTTTTCCACTGGACCCGATTTCATCATGGCATCCAAAATCAGCCTTGCTGCCCTTCTAAGGGGTGTCTGCTCCCAAATTTCTGAGCAAAAGTTGTCAATCAGGACTCACCTCTCCTTCCCTGGGCCAAGGCCTCCCGTTCTGGGTGTATTTGCTTTGATTTTGTCTCTTCTTTTGTCCTCCATCAGCGAATTTGCACAGTAAAGGCTCACTAGGGGCTGTGAAGATAAGAAACCAATTCCACATTAGCAACCCCCCCCTTAATAACTAGTGATTATTTGAGTCACAGTAGTGCTTTGTAATGCATGTCTTTTGAAGTAACATCTCGCTTCGAGAGAGATATTTGGCCCCCTTTTAGTCTCAACTCCGTTGGCCGCTGTTGTAACTGGGCTTCAAAAACCCACTGGCAGACCATAAAAGAATATAACAAATATTGTTGAAAAAATAATCAGATGAAGTGGAATGTGAACTCGCCTTAGAAGTAAAGAGAAAAGCGTTGTCTCCTTCCAGTTATGTTAGAAACTTATTCATAACTGGTATTTGTGCGTGGATAAATATTTCCCTCTCAAAGCAACTGTGTTTTTACTGTAGAAACGGGAGGATTCTCTTCTGGAAAGAGATACTTAGGAGTTTCTTTCTAAAAAGAGAGTGATTTTGCTAAGTACAACCAAATGAGCTTTGTTTTCTCATTAATACTTTGCTATTTCAGAAAGGCTAGAAGTTGATCGTCCACCCAACCACTCTTACTTCATTTTCCCAGTAAAAATCTAGCTAGGATTCTAGGGAGAACAATTATTAAACTATTAAGTAAACCATATGATACAAAGGACGTAGTTGTAGGTGGTGGATTGTGTACTGGGAAAAATGAAGTGGTCCTGGGTAACTTATGCAAATTTATTTCCCAAAAGGAAGTGACCAAAACTAAAGTATGTCAGAGCTCTTCTTTCAACAATATTATTGCAAAATTACTATTTTTAAGACACACCAGGGCAAAAATGAATTCTTTCAGAACTGACAAATCCTTCCATAGTCCTTGTTATTTGGAAAAATTGCTACTTGTTATTGTGACCAGTGTATTTAAAAAAGAATAAAAAAGAGAAACTCCTGTTGGCCTAACAAACATGATCAGTAGATTAAGATGGCTGGGAGGGCTTTCATTGTTGTTGCTGTTAGTTAATTTGCTTGACTAAACCAAATATTAAGTTTACAGTCTGAACACGAGAACGACAATCCCTCCCTACTCTCTTCCCGTTCCTCCCGTTGGAAAATGTGTTCCGTTATAGAGGAACTGTGCTACTGTCCCTAACACTTCACTCCTCCCTGTATCCTCACACTTTACCATGTCATTTTATCCAGCCCTCTCATTCTGACTCTTGGACTGACCCCATGTGCCTTCTTTGGCCAATGGACTCTTAGCAATAGTCTCAAACAGAGGTTTGAAAAGAGTTGAGGCATTGGGCTTGCTTCTTTTCCTCCTCTCTTATGTGATCATTACCAGGCTAGTCTGCCAGAGGATGAGACATGAATGAAGGTGAGTCATCCCAAACATCCCAGCCAAGGCCATACTAGATCATCCAACACCTAGATCAGCCACCATCCAGACATGTGAGATCATCTGAGATTAGCAAGGTGCTTATTTAACCTACAGTTGATGGCAGAAAAATGTATGAGCCTACGTGAGATCTCCTAAGTCCACCCCAAAAATATGTGTACTAAATAAATTTGTATTGTTTCACTCCACTAAGATTTTGTAATTGATATGTGGCATTATTGTCTTAATAGATAACTGACACATTTCCCAATACCCATTTCTTCCCATTCCCCACTCCCAGCCAGATTGCTTATATTTTCTAATGGATGAAGCTAAATACTATCATAAAATCATAGGACTTACAATTGTTTTCAAACTCAGTAATGGAAAAATAATACAGAAAAACAGGCATATTTACAAATAAATATTTTAAATTCATTTGGTTCTAAAGGATAATGATATTTTATCCACCACTTTGACCAATGCTTTCTATTAACAGCACAACTCTGCTCATTGGCACTAGAGGAAATGGCTCAAAGGGAAAGGGGGTCACCACTGGCCAAGATAAATGAAAAACAAAATGTCTTATCTGTCTATAAAAACAGCATGTAGGTATGTGTAAATCATCCTGGCATGTGCTCTGTACTGTATTTTTACGCAAATAACATACACCTTCTACGTTTGCTTGCTAACCAGACCATCCCACTACGAAGTATTTTCATAAGTGCTGCTATGTCAATTTTTTTATATGTTGCTGTAGAAAAATCAGCATAGCTGTTAACAAGAATACCTAGAGGGGGAGGGTGTGGTTGGCAAACAAATGTAGAAGGCATGTGTTATTTGCATAAAAATACGGTATACAGAGAGACAGCACTCAACAAATAGCATTGCCTCATTGAGCACAGGTGATTTTCATGCTGCTCTAATGAGAGCAGACTTGGGTGATTTGGTGACGCTACAAAAATCACAAAAGGGAAAGGCTGCAACTTGGAATGTCTGCAGACAGTCAGTGCCCTCACATTAGAAGTCACCTAAATCCTTACTCCAGATGAAAACGTAAAGGCTAAATGTAATTACTGGACCTCAATAGAATATACCGTATTTTACCCAAATAATGCGTGCCTTCTGCAATTGTTTGCCGGTCGTGCTTTCGTCCTATGAAGTATTTCTGTAAGTGCGCTATAGTAATTTTTCTACAACATGGGGAAGAGGACTGGCATGGTGGTGCTTGTGAAGGTGGCTTGAGGGGCAGGTGCAGCTGGCAAACAAATGCAGAGGGTGTGTGATATTTGTGTAAAAATATGGTAATATTGGCTTCCCCCTTTTTTTGTAAATAATATTTTGTTGAGTTTTTGGTGAAAGTTTACACAGCAAGTTAGGCTCCCATTTGACAGTTTTTGTGCATAGTGTTCAGTGGCATTAGTAACATTTATGACAATGTGCCAACATTCTCCTTACTTGTGTTCTGTTTGTTTCATTGCCAGTACTCTAGTTTCCTTGCTCCCTTATCATCTCATCTTTGCTTTTGAGTAACTGTTCATCTTTTGGTCTAATACAGATGGTTTTTAAGTAGTGCATCGATCTTACAGGTAATATACTTTATTTTGTATGCCACTCTGCTATTTCCCTAAAAGGTGCTCTCAGGGTATAAGATTGGTTCTCAGTTTAAAGAGTGACTTAGGACGATAGTCTCAGGGAGTCTTCTGTTCTCTACTATTCCAGTTTGTCTGGGTTTTTCTTTTTAAAAAAATTTGAGTTCTTCTCCACAGTTTTCTCCCATTCTGTCCCGAACCATCAACTGTGACCATGGTCAGAATGCTCAATGGTGCTAGCCAGGCACCATCTAGTTCTTCTGGTCTCAGGACAGATGAGATTGTGGCTCACGTAGACTTGTTTCTGCTCTGAGATTCTGTTTACCTTCTTACTGTTTTGCTCCTAGTGTGTAGAGGTCAGTAGTTGTATCTAAGATGGCTGCTTGCAAACTTTAAAGACCCCAGACACTGCTCACTTTATATGGATGCAGAACATGACTTTTGTGAAGTATGTTATGCCAATTGACTGAGTTGTCCCATGAGACTGTGGCCTTAAGCTTTCAAACCCTGAAAACCAATCTTGGAAAGTATTTGGTTATGTCTGATGAATATCTGTATTTGTGTTTTCAATGAATACACGTGCCTGGACTCACATATTTATATTTACACGTACCTATAGATATTTCTATCTGTTCTCACCTATGTATATACCTGTACCTACCGAAATACCAATAGGACTCCATTCATATGTGCTCAAACACTTGTTTTTACCTTGGTTGTGCTGTGTTCACTACATTCACATTTGGTGTCACTTTTCCTATCACCAAAAATCACAATCCTCTATGATCTAAAGCGTACTTTCTCCTCCACTCCTCCTCTCCCTGGTAACCAGTAACAAACATTGGTATCTATATATCTATTTTTGCCTTCTTATAAAAGAGGGATCATACAACATTTGTCCTTAAATTCTTGACTTATTTCACTTAGCATTATGCCCTCCAGGTCCATCCATGTTATATGTTTTGCAGACTCATCATTGGTCTTTATGGTTGCGTAGTATTTCATTGTACGTATGTACCACAATTTGCTTATCCATTCTGCTGCTATCATGAATAAAGCAGCAATGAACATAGGTGTACATGTCTCTGTCTGTGTCTTTATTTTTAGGTCTCTAGGGTATATATCTAGGAGTGGGATTGCTGGATCATAGGGTAGTTCTATTTCTAATTTTTTGAGAAAGTGTCATATGGTTTTCCATACTGGTTGTACCATTTTATGGTCACACCAGCAATGGAAAAGTGTTCTAATCTCCCCACATTCTCACCAACATTTGTTTTTATCTGTTTTTTTGTTTTTTTTTTTAATCAGTGCCATTTTAGCTAGGAGAAAACAGTATCTCATTGCAGTTTCTTTCTTTTTTAATTCTGCTTTAGATGAAGGTTTACAGAACAAATTAGTTTCCCATTAAACAATACACATATTGTTTTGTGACATTGGTTGCCAACCCCACGACATGTCAACACTCTCCCCTTCTTGACCTTGGGTTCCCCTTTTCCATTCCTCCAGCTTTCCTAGCCCCTCCTGTCTTCTTGTCCTTATCCCTGGTCTGGTGTGCCCATTTAGACTCATATATGTGGTTGAGCTATGTGCTTTGTGTTCCTGTCTAATCTTTGGCTGAAGGGTGAACCTCAGGAGTGACTTCAGTACTGAGTTAAAGGGGTGTCTGAAGGCCATACTCTCTTTGTTTCTCCAGTCTCTGTCAGACCAGTAAGTCTGGTCTTTTTTTGTGAGTTAGAATTTTGTTCTACACTCTTCTCCAGCTCTGTCGGGGACCCTCTATTGTGATCTCTGTCAGAGCAGTCGGTGGTGGTAGTTGCGCACCATCTGTTGTGCTGGACTCAGTCTGGTGGAGGCTGTGGTAGTTGTAGTCCATGAGTCCTTTGGACTGATCTTTCTCTTGTGTCTTTGGTCTTCTTCATTCTCCCTTGCTCCAGACGGGGTGAGACCAGTGGAGTACCTTAGATGGCCACTCACAAGCTTTTAAGACCCCAGACGCTACTTACCAAAGTAGGATGTAGAATATTTTTTTTTTTATAAACTATGTTATGCCAATTGAGCTAGATGCTCCCAGAAACCATGGTCCCCAGCCCTCAGC